AAAGTAAATTACGCTATATTTATGTCACATCTTCTCAGATATATAGCCTCGACATCCTGCAACCAACAAAGCATGCTAGCGCACTAACTTGCAGCATGGTCGTTGAGCATGTAGTTGAGTCATTCCTGCATAGGTGGCGCTATGGTTGATGCTGACAGTTGATGGCGAGCAAGAGTGGAATGAACTATTTGCACACTAGGAGATATCTAGTCAGCAAGTTGACATTTTGACTGGTTTTTAGGCGTTATATAGGTTTTTCACGTAATAACCTGCGGAAAGGTTGACCAATGATACCGCTGACGTTCTCTATTGTATGGTGGAACCACCTCCCCCTCCTCTAACCCTGCCTTGCCCGCTGTATTGGAATACGTCCAAAAAGCCCAAGAATTTCAGAGTTCGACCACATGCATTTATTTGTATCTGTGTTTTTTCCCTGATTGATTCATCTCCATCATGGCCAATGAATGAAACCACAGGTGTTAGAAAACCACTTTACTGATCTGATAATTTTACCTTGTACTTTGAATAAGTGCTCCATAGCTCGTCGGACTAGGTAGACAAGAACGATGAAAATTCAACTTGAACAAGCGCATCAAAAGGCGGATTTTTGAATTTGTGCAAATTGTTGTATATAATAGTTAAATTACAACGTTTCTACGTCTCACTCTAAATGTACTTAGGCTCATCCACTTTAGCCCTAAAATGTGTAAATCTACCACGTTCAATCATATACATGTATTACCTCTATTTGTTGCTATATAAATTCTTGATGTTGCTTATGCGGTTGGTCGGCTTATCAACATGAATCCGAAATAATGATAGTAGCTGCAGCTGTTGCATTTGTTTTACAATATCTATAATTATCCGATTTGGGAAATACACCGGATACTAAAATATGAAATAGAATAGTGGTTATGATCATGATTACGTATTCAATATGCCGAGTGCACAACATGGACCCATCCCGCGTCTGATATTTTTGCTATATTGTTAATCGCATGATTAATATGCCTACCAATCAACTCGTGCGTCGCTGATAAGCGCGATTTACGGATAGTTAATTAATAAGGTAAACAAATATGGTTGTTGATTAATTATCGATCGATTGTACTATTGAGCACCTGAATTATCATTGGTAAATAGAGAATATGTTGTAGTGTACCAAAACATGTGATAGCAGTACACAGAGTGTCCCAGAAATAACACGCCAGAGTGACACGGGAGGTAGATTGGTTTCAGATCAATCAGGTAAGATCAACTATTTTTATTTGGAAAAATAATTCCACTAATCTAATACCTAGGTAAATCCACATACCAAATTTTAGTACATGCTCCTTGAAGATATTGAAAAAAATTGTTTTTTATTTTTAAACTTCAAAATGCGGTCCTGTGTATGATGATTTATTTTTGGTCACGACTTTTGAATAACCCTACCCTATGCAAAATGTTGTACACCCTTGTGGTGTATGCTGAAGGCTTACGTAAGGTCGCAGCATGCTGTTTATTGGCCATCGCCTCGTACGCATTACGGACTGATCTGGGGATTTGAGTATCAACTCCTTTTTCCGTGTTGGTAGTGTGGCATTGCCTTTTCTAACCAGGGGTTTAAACGACTGAGGACAGTCCGCTCAATCACGTTTGCCATTATACTGAAAAGAGTAATGGGCTGGTGGGTTTTTTCTAGTTACGATGGAACTGAGCATTGAGTTTTTCTCAATCTCCACTAAAAACAAATTTGTCCAAAATTCCCATCTGGATAATTTTTTAGCAGAAACCCTAGTGCATTGATTCCCAAAGTGGTCTATATCGACCCCTAGGGGTCTATGACAACCTGCAAGGGGTCTACGTCAGCGAAAAAAAATTTGGGGGTCCATGAAATGAATATGGGGGTCCACGATAGTGGATCTTAACACATACATTGATAGTACCTATTTATAAAACATATACATTATTTATAAAAGTACCTATGAAGTAAAAAATGTATTATATACGTATATATAATTGTGTGAGTTGTAGGATGTTGGTATTCGCTTTGCGGTCGCAATACATTTTGAACTTGTAAAAACCTGAGAGTCGCAGTCTCAGAGCTTCGCTACCTTGCACTGACTTGTTCAATTCGTCACTCTATAAATACGAATGTTGGACAAATACGTTTATTCGTTTCCTGAATCTTGAAAAGGAAAGTGCTAAGAAAATATTTTAAAAAATATAAACAGTTAGTATATCACACAAATTATAGTGAGTCAGTGTTATTTTGTTTGTGAGTGCTGGAGAAAAGTAAGTACATTATTTTTTATTAAATGTTAGTTTTGTACTCGTAATTAGAAAAGATAGATAAATTACACCAATCATGACTTTAGTTATCAGTAGTTAAATATTCAATCATGCAAAATTACACGAGTACTCCTCAATAGTTTATTTTTGAAAGTTTTAGCAATCGGTAATATAATTACAGTGCAATCTCCGTAATTCGAGCTAATTGTTGCAAGAAGATGTTCGAATTATGGAATGTTTTCGGATCAAAAAATATTTTTAATATACAGCTGCTGGATTTTCTGCTGGATCATCCTGATAAAACAGAGAAAGATTTGAAATACTTTCGAACACTCAAAGATAAATTTCAGAAGAGACCTACACTGGACAGAATGTTCGCTTCGTCACAAAGAAATGATGATGGTTTGCGGGCGTCTTACAATATCTCGTTACTTGTAGCAAAATCCGGAAAACCGCATACTATCGGAGAGAAGTTAATTTTGCCAGCCGTTGAAGAGGTTTTAAAAACTGTTTTACACAACCCTGCATCTGATATCATTAAAAGAATTCCCTTAAGCAACAATACTGTTGAAAGACGTATTGATGAAATGAGTTCTGATATTGAAAGCTTCTTATGTAATTATTTACGAATGTCATAATACGTATATATACAAGAGGAACTGACTGAACTAAGACAAACGAAGAACTTAAGGTTCAGTTTAAAAGCGGATATCAGCAATTCTGGCTGCAAAACAACATACCCGTTACTTATCCCGTATTATGAAATATAGCGAGGAAATTTTTAATTTCCTTTCCATCGCCATACCTAGTGGAAAGGGGGTTCAGCGCTGTTATCAATCTCCTAACGAAAAAAAGAAACAGGCTGGACATCATTAGCCGAGGAGATTTAAGATTAACCCTTACAAAATTGAAGACAAATGTTGATAATTTATTATTAAAGCATCAGGTTCATCCTTCTCACTAAAAATAATGACTTATTGCTTATGTTATTTTATTTATAGTTTATTTTATGTTTATTGGTGTCTGACCAATAAATGCCCGCATTGGGAATAAGTGCCCGCATTGATTTTTTTAAAGAACCCCCCTTTATAGAAAATATTTTTTTTTAAAATTATTCTGAATGTTCAAGGATAGGTACACACTAAAATTCGTTAATTTTTTGCCTATTTTTAGATAACTTAAACGTATAAGAAGCGGAATTTAATCAAACTAACAGTCAAATTATTGTAGAACATACGTTTATGTTATAATTAATAAACGAACTCGCTTATTGTACTATTTTAAGTAAAAAACTTTTTTTTATTATTTTTCACTTTTTTTTATTTTATCCCTCTTATTTTTTTTCAATGCGGGCACTTATTCCCAATGCGGGTACTTATTGGTCAGACACCTGTTTATTTAATGTTACGTATATTTTACATAACAGATACAAAATTTTATTTTGAATAGTTTTAATTTAAATTCAATTAATAAACGTATAAATTAACATGTGTTTTTACTTTAAGTTTTTAACACTAAACTTCACTACAGTTAGAAATTTACAGGAAATCAATATCAGGTAAGTAGGGGGTCCACCCAACACGGAAAAACATGGCAAGGGATCTAGGACACAAAAAAGTTTGAGGAACTCTGCCCTAGTGTAAACGTATAAAAGCGTAATCCTGACCTCGGTCAGACAAGTTTAGCGCTTGCCTTTGGCGCGAAGCTGTTACAGCATAACACCGCTCGTATATAAAACTTGCTTGTTAAACGAGCAAGAAGCCCCTAGGGGACGGAGAACGGATATGAATTAATGATCGGCAGACTCCGCAGGAAGTTGCTTGCCTCTGACAGCGGCAGGTGAGAAAATTGGATCCTAGGCCTTTGTTTTGAACCGGGTAATTATGCGAAACTTTCCTAATATCTCACTTCGTCTTTTCATCGAAACTATCTGCTCCTGAAAATAGAAGTATTTGAGAAACGGCTCAAAATACCGTGTACTGCCGTTGGGTAACGGGATAGGGTGAGTTCTGCAACTGATCGTAGTAATAAACAACTTGATGGTTGATAGCGATTGAGTGTGATAGGGTTTGGTGTAAGGTTTGCCAACCATTCAAAATATCGATCTGGTATTTGGGACTTGAAGTTGCGATAATATTGACGTCGAAAGCTAATGTCGTGTATGACATGTCAGATACGAGATCTGTAAATTAAGTGATGAGACTGGCAACGTGTACCGTTCGATCTGGCAACACTGGATGCAAAGAGCTTGAAGGGGAACATGTGACCCGCCTTCAGTACAAGTTTGAGCTTGAATCATTTGTTTATCCGTAGCGATTTTTTTTTGAAATATTTTGTTCTAATAATGAGTGACATCAATTTCAGGCAACGGTGTGCTGCTATCAGATTTTATTTCAGACTTGGACTACGAAAATTCTTGCTAAAGATTCCTACCAAAGTATTCCCTCCCTCGCTCTTCAAAAAGTTTTAAAGGCAGTTACGCTTTCACACAAAGGTTATCTCTTGTCGATGGACGGTCCTACCCCTCCCCCTGAAAAAAATACTTGTGGGCGCATATGGTCAAAACTATGTGCACACCAGACGTGAATGCTGATCGTTCACATCCAAGCAGCGGAGGCCGACTGCTACACTGTTGCATCGGCAGGACCGCGAAGCGTATGATCGACACGCGAGGGTCGAAGTTTTGAGGACACACGTACGAGGAAATCTATGATGAGTGGACTATGTCTAAGTGTAATGACATATTAAGCGGAAAACCGCAAAAACGCTAAAATTAGCGGCCCGCTCGAAAACCGCCTGCAATGCAATGTTAATGTTCAATGACATATTTCGTTCCCGCCGGCCGCTGCGATCGGCGGCAAAATTCAGACCGCGTCTTGTCGGCGGGAAAGCGGTTTGCGTTTTGCGGTTTGAGTGGGGGAAACATACACAAACTAACGCCTGGTGACAAATAGTTGTCTACTGAACCGCTGCGGGTTGCGATTTGTAGTGTGTTTCGTGATTTCGTCGAGGAGTCTGCAGAATCATGTCCACAGAAAACCTCATTGAGCTCGTTGAGATGCATCCTTCCATTTGGAACAAAAGTTGTGAGCAGTACAAAGACAGATACGAAAAAGAAAAGGCTTGGATCGAGATCGCCCGAAGGATCTTCCAAGATTGGGATACACTTGGGAAGAAAGAGAGGAATAAAAAATGTAAGTTGAAGGTACCAAATAATTATAAAGGTTAATAATTGAAAGTTAAAAAGTTTAAAAGCGAATTTAAGATAAAAAAAGTCGATTGTTTGTTCGTATATTGACTGACTAGCATTTATTTTCACCACATGAAAATTACGATTAAATTTATAAATAAATCTTTCAATTCTTTTTGGCATAATTTTAAAATTACTATTGATGTGCAGAAGTGATGTTTTCACTTAAAAAAGAAGATTTGGCAATCAAAATTTAATAAAAATAAATAAAACGAAAAAATAACGCATTGGAACACGGTTTTTACATGGACATAGGACACGGTATTTACCTAAAATTTTATTCTTATCATTCATCGTTTTTTATACGTAATTTTTTTCCGGGCAATGCCGAGTTTCTCAGATAATAGGTATTTTTTTTAGAATTAAGTACATTGTAATACTTTAATACATTTATTCACAACTACGTGAACATCCTTGCAATTCAATAATTATACTCCTCTTGAAACGGGACGGCACCAATCCCAACAAAATAATCTGCGAAAAAATCGCGAACTTGTGTTCCTTGGTCGCGGGGCGCTGCACCAGTATTTATTACGTCAGGAAATGGAGAGATTTCACCTTCTTCATAATTGGCACCATCTCTTTGCCGAACGAAATTATGTAGGATGCAACAGGCTTTTACGATATCATCAATGAGCTCTGGTCGTACCAAAATTGGTGTGTGAAAAATTCGCCATTTATTGGCTAATAAACCAAATGCACACTCGACTGAACGTCTGGCTCTAGAAAGTCGGTAATTGAAAATTCTTCGACGACCATCAATGTCACGTGCAGGAAAGGGTCTCATGAGATTTGTATGTATTTTAAACGCTTCGTCTCCAAGAAATACAAAAGGCTGAGGAGTGGAATCTGTTCCGGGTAGACACTTAGGTGCAGGAATATTTAGTTGGCCAGAATACAGTTTCGTACCAAAAGTGCTGTCACGGAATACAGTCGAATCACCTTCTTCACCATAAGCTCCTACATCAATTGAAATAAAGCGAAGGTTGGCATTAGCTACTGCCATTAGAACCACCGAAAAATACTTCTTGTAGTTGAAAAATTTAGATCCAGAGCTCCGTGGCTTAACACAACGAATGTGTTTCCCATCCACCGCACCTAAGCAATTTGGAAAATCTGTTTTCTCTTGAAAAGTGTCGGCGATCTGGTACCATTCCTCTTTCGTTGGCTCAGGCATTTCTGTATCTTTCAAAGCAAGCCAGATTGCTTGGCAAGTTTCAGACACTATATCGGCAATCGTACTTCTTCCAATGTGGAATTCATATTGTAGAGCTGTGAAGGTATTTCCCGTGGCCAAGTATCTGCAAAAAGAATCGAAATATACCACTAATTCTAGTGCACGTGTTTTTGTGTCTTTGTTTTTGAAATTAATTATTCTTTTTTAGTGGATGCGTTGAAGAAGAAATGGAAGAACATCAAGGATTCATTAAAAAAATATTTAGATACAAGAAGCGGGGATGCTGCAAAAAAAAAGAAATATGTACACCTTGAGGCCCTGAGTTTCCTCCAAAACTCTGCTGAAAAAAGAAGGTTGGTCATTTAGTTGATGTTATATCATCTACAGTATATATCGTTATTTGCATCTCTTTTCAGCACAACGGGCAATTTCGACTCAGACACTTCAGAGGAAGAGGGCCACAACGAATCTGACATAGCCACAACTTCAGCGTTATCACTATCAGAATCCCATTCACCCATTTCATCCCCACACCCAGAAAACTCATCAACTCCAAAACAACATTCTTTTAGAAAGCCTAGTCGACCTGCCAAGATGACTCCTTTTCAAGAATCCCTTATAAAAAATCTCAGTCAGGCATCATCATCGATTACCCAAGCCAGAGTTGACGAAGATGCAGATCGTTTGTACCTACTTTCTTTACTTCCGGATTACAAAGCGTTATCTCCGCAGCAAAAGTGGGCATTCCGTGAACACGTAGGATACTTTTTCCGTCAAACTTTCGTACCTCCTACATCTACGCCTCCTCCGTCATTCCAAAACTACCAAACCACTTCAACACATTGTCCTCAATACTCCTATCAAGAACACAGTTCACTACCTTTCTCTCACAACATAACCCAACTTCAGAAACCCCCACAGCCACCGCAAACCTATCAAACATCATCTTGTAACATAGCACAAGAATCCACTCAAGTCACATTCTCTCCCAGTTCGTCTTCCCAATCACAGTAACGATATTACTATATTAAGTTGTATTATCAAGTATTTTGTTCACTTTTGATTTTTTTACAAATAAACTCGAGTTATGATTATTATTGATTATTTGAGTGTAATTTAAAACATTATTTATATAATATTTAAAATAAATAAGAAGTTATATATATGTTTGGTTACCTGAGTGTGACAGTCAACCTTTCTTTTGCGCTAATTGGCTTTTTGAAAGAAGTCTCCTGTTTCGTAATAAGTGGACGTAGAGCTCCAAGTAGTTCATCGAATGACGCAATTGACATGCGATAGTACTCAAAAAATTTATCGGGATGCTTTCTGATGTCTTCCAAAAATTTGGGGCACTTCCTTGAACGTTCATTGTTATACGGGTGCACTGCATATCTGCGACTTCGTGGTTTCTCCAACAGGCCTTCAGCTTCAGCAGCACAAACAGTTGCTACGTTAACAAAATGTGCGAGCTCCATACTTCAAAGCTAAGCTACAACTGATGACAAAAGTAGAATGTGGCCATTCAGGCCTCTCCCCCTTGTCGCGCCGCCATCCACCGCCGCGCCGCCGCGCGGGCGACAGTATGTCATCAGACCAGAAAGCGGTTTTCATTCCCGCTACTTTTGGCGTTTTGCGGTTTCCCGCCTAGTATGTCATTACACTAAGGGCCTCCTACAATTGTAGAACGTCTTTATGGTCTTCTTGATTCTCATGGTCTTTTCTTTTCTTCAGAAATGCTGGGGTATTTCTATATCTCTACTCTCATATTGTGAGGTTATGTTTTCTTTTTGAGGTCTAAGAATTTTTAGGCTAATAAAACAGGTGATAAAGATCAAAAACATGAACAATTTGATACAAATAGATATTTGTAACAGCCCAACTCAGCCCTGCCTTCCTGAAGGACAGGAAAAGCTATGACTAGAATTACCACAGCTGGACGCTTATATACTACTGTAAAAAAAATGAGATATTCATTCTCCCACCGTCCAAAACCCCCACCCACGTATTTTTCACCCAATTTCAAAAATGATCAGGATCCTCAAAAACGTCAAAAAAATGCACGTTTGAAGGATTTGTATTTTTTACTTTTTGCCACTAGCTCCGCCGCCACTGGACTGATTTTAAAGTACCAGAAAGCTCATTCATCCTTATCATGTGTGAAAATTTAATCAAAATCCGACTGGTACTTTGAAAATTACAGGGGGTCAACGATCAGCGGACAAACAGACAGACAGACTAATAAGAGTGATACTTCTTTTTGTCATATCACCTAACATACAGAGTGCTCCGCAAAGAAAATATCATGATAGTGAGGTATAGCTAAATACATTTTAACGCATATAAAAGAACTTATAGATAAGCTGAATCGTGAGATCTTTTTACGCACTTTGTGTAATTCTAGTATTGGTTGTCGTCTGGTGTGTTTTGATGCAGACTCTTTTAAGCTTGCTAAACAAGACATTTGTTCAAAATTCTTGCACAATCGTACCATGTATCGATCGGTACGACTACACACAGGGTAAACGATCCATCCAATTTCTATATAGCTCGTGCGCGTATATCAGAAATTCAATTTTCTCATTCCTCTTCGTCATCTACTTCATTTGTACACATAAAAATGAATAACAGTTCAACATAATACGCGGTTAGCGGTCGACAGCCACCGCCTACTGCCTCTGCTGAGCTCTCATTAATCCCAACGTTTCAGTTTGGAGTGACGGAGAGGGAATTCCATATTCATGAAATTCAAAAAGTACCCCCTTCGGAATAATTACTAGGCCAGCCGTTAATCTTGTTTCATTAGAGCCAAGCGAAAACGCTGTGCTTCGAAATTTTGTAGGCTGAGGAAAATCTCTAATAAAAATCAAAAGGTATCGTGTTTTCTACGACTCATTTTCAGAGTTTGCACTTAGTGAATCGTGTCGCTCTTCCACACTCTCTGAAACTGTAGTTGAAGGAAGCTTCCGACCTACAATGCCAACAAGGGTATTCCCCAGGGATCAGTTTTGGCTTTAATACCGTTTCTCTCACATGGCTCATTTCCCTGTACGATAAGCCCGATCAATAGCTTCGCTTCCCATTTTTCATGAACCTGATTCTTATACTAGGTAATTTGAAAAGGAAACGTTTCTGGACTCGCGTGCAGAAGGCGTTGATATTAGAAGATATATGGCTTTGTCCGACTACCAGGCACTCCCTGTAGTTTAGAATTGATAACAGGAATACATTTCTTGACATAGGGATTTGAAGTAGTGAAGTAGTGTACACTGACTGAATATTTATATCAAAAAGAAATAAACGGATATGTTTACTGTATTAGGGAGTGCCGCTCCTTGATGACCAATGGTATCGAACTAGATTGGTGAGCTTGAACGTAGTTGTAACAGTATAATTGGCGAGGCACATAATGGAGACACGAGCACTTCTGCCAACGAAGATATTGTTAATTATGAACATGATGTAGTTTCAGATAATAAACAAATGGTAACACGTATAAAATTGCTGAGGCTGTCGGCATCTTATGGCAAATGCTTTAAGGGCATAGAGAGCTTTTAACATGATGGGTGCCACATTCCTTTGCTTTAGATCACAAACCAATTAGAGTAAGGCTTTTTCAGTAATATCTGGTCTAATTTGTGGATGGCCCTACCAACTTTTTAACTGCCAGGTTGTAGAAATTGTGTGAAAAGATTATCCATCAAGTTTCTGGAATGCAAAACGGATATTATCCATTACATACTTTACCTAGGTAATGAATACAATTAGTAGGGATTGTATAGGGTACCTGCTGTTCCTCCGGCAATGTGTGAAATAAATAGATCTTCTGCCCTATCAAGAAAGACCCCCGTATCTCCACTGGAACAAGTTTTGAGAAAACCGTGGTTGAAGATTTTTTCTGTTTATGTTGTACTTTTACTTGACTAATAAAGTAAGATCATTCATCATATAACTAATTAGATCATAGCAAGCATTTTTATACGGGCTAAGAAAGCAACGCATTAGTTAAGAGTAATTAGTTAAAACCACGTTTTAACTATGTAATTATGATAAACATTTATATCTGTGCCAAGAGACAATAATTTTTTATATTTTAATATCGTATTAACTTAGGAAAGCAAAATATTTTTATGCTTGCCACTAACAACACTTTTATAAATATTAAGACAATTTTAACTGATATATCAATGAAAAATGTAGAGGGATTCAGTTTATAATAAACACAAGTCGAGACCAATCAATAAAGTGACGATTTACGCGGCAAAATGCTTAGAGGAAACCTGGCATGGACAGCGCCGATAGCAGAACTGCTATATTCCTTAGAAGATACCTCGCATGTCGATTTCCGTATCTACTGATTACATACCAGGGTCTCTGACAAAATGTAATACGCGGGGTTTATACTAAGTGTAAATGCAATTTATGGCATTTACGGGGAAACTATTTTCCTTCATAAGACATTTAATGTAGCATAAATCATGATTATTCGTTTGGTGCAAATATCGCAATTTTTGAAATTTTGGAGATGCGGGGGTCTTTGTTAGTAGGGCAGTCTTGGTATAAATTTATCAATGTTAACCGGCATACCTATAAAATGACGGGCAAATGAAACAAGTTATATTATTTAAAATCAACTTTATTAAAAGTAACATTTTCTTTTACTTTCCTGCTGAGATGGTGGTGTGGGGGTCGTTTCGTTAACTTCCAGAGTCTGGGATATTAACACCAGTTTATGGAGTAGCACCCCTTTTATTTGGTACCTTACCTCACCTTATTTAGTTGTTTTGGTTTCGGTGCTACCCCGTCCATTTTCTTATGGGATTTTAACCTTCAGCGTGTGAAGGCATTGAGAACAACCACCATTCACACACCTCCAGTTTTTTTTTGTAGCTGCCTTTTTGTTTACAGCTGATATTGCTGGAAGCCACCCCTTCCCCTTGAGCAAAACCCGTGCCTTGCTCTCGTCTTTTACACACATTACAGCTGCGCATTCTGTATTGTATAGAATACCTAGGCAAAGTATAAAACACATATTATTTCATACATTATCTACACGTTTTACGTATCCTATACATTACCTAGGTATTGTATAGAATACCGGATTGTACAGATTGCCGTTAGCATATAGAAGGATAAACATACTTGCAAGCTCAGATAACTTTTTACATGTCTTGGATCTTTTCAAATCATCCAGTAATAAACTGCACTTACCCTAACCTAGTTTTTAAAAACCTATGATCTGAGTCCTAAGTACACCTATTCACGCGGTATAATTTTTAAGAATAATGGGAAAGTGCAGAATGTCTAGATTTGCCAGTTTTAGTTGTATGAGTCGCTTTAAAGGTCATCGTTATCATCATTTCATGTACCGTTTACAAGCCGATCAGTGATTGACAGGTATCCAATAACACTTGAACCCAGCTAACTCGAAAAAACAAACCCAAAAGGCCGATAATAAATCTTTTTCCACTAGCGTCCACATGCAAATGTCCTGCGCCGCGCATTATTAAAAAAATTCTCTCCGGTTTGCCGGCAGATGAACTTTTAATTACGCACCAATGAAATATTTCCTCGCATTACGTTTCACCCCTTTTTCGTTTTTCAACCCCATATTACTGTTTTAGATCGGTTAAAATGGAAAGATAATCGAATCTTTCCGCATAGGTTTCATTATACATTTAATTTCGAAAAGATTATATTAGCAGTTGTCGGGGTAGCGATTGTGGTGCATCGAACCTTAAAAATCGAAATATCTCAAAAACGGCTAACTATAACAAAAACTCACAGGAGAGCTTTTTTATGTTGAAAAGTGCGAAGAATCAGTTTGTTTATTCATAAAGCAAAAAATTGCACTAAGAAAAATTTTTCGGTCATTTTAATACACTATAGGTACAGTAGAGAGTGCCCTTTAGCGGCTACAGTAAAACTATGCTCATGGTTCGTTTTGTCGTACCAAAAAACCCTTGTATACCAATTTTCACTGTTATACATCAAATATTGTTCGAAATATTTTAAAAAAAACTATTTTAGGAAATAAATTTAAATACCCTGTATTTCGGAAGCCACGCATTTTTCGACCCACGTTTATATAGACTTTATGCATTAATTTTAAAAGTTCAATCGAATCTTAAAGTTATGCAACAATAAACTGAAACACCCTGTATATATAGGTGAAAAACTAAAGC